AGAAAGACGAGGCTTTCTACTTCCATAAAGAGTTACCGTCTCAGAAACCCGTAGAGTTTTGCAAGGCTGTAAATCTTCACGAAAACTACCATATATCTCTCCCACAGAGCCGAGAGTGAGCTCAAGTCCCCACCTTTAGCAATTGACCTGTGTGCTACCCGGCTCCTTCAAGCTTCCTACGGCGATTCATACTTCCTCCATTCTCTTTCCCGGAGACCTGTGGCGGGTGAAGTGGTTATGCGTTGGGCCGCTGACCGCGAGGTCAGCAGTTGGAAACCACCAGCTGCTCCGCGGGAGAAAGAGGAGGCTTGCCAGTCCCGGGAGAGTAACCTTTTCAGAAACCCACAGGGGCAGTTAAGCTGTCCTATAGAGTCACTATGAGTCAGAATTGCCTCGGTGGCTTTGCGTTTTTGAGTTTCCGCGTCTCTTCCCCCACCTCCCTATCTCCCACGGTCCTCATTCTTCTCCCCTGAGCAAGCCGCAGGGGGGAGGTGGCGGTTTTAGGAGACAATCCGAGTCGGAGAGGAAGGCAGGGGAGTCGGCTGGGGCACGGAAAGGGGCCGGGCTGTGCTGTCTGGGAAGTGGGAGGGGGCCTCGGCGCCAGGAGGGAAGCGCCTGTCGCCCGGGGCGCTGGGCCACTGGAGTCGCAGCCTGCACAGCGGCCGCCCCCGGGCTCCCTCCCAGCCGGGCCGAGTCCGCGGTGCGCGGCGACGGCGCGGGCCGTGAGTTCGGGGAGAGGACCGCCCGGGCTCCTCCGCAGCCCTCCCGAGTCCGCGCTCCCGGCGATGAGGCCCTGGCCCGAGCACCTCCGCAGTCGGGGTTTGAGGACCGCGCCGCAGAGACTCGGCCAGGCCCCCCATCGGCCCCGGGAGAGGCCTGCGAGGCCGCGAGGAAGGCCAGGGGGCAGCCGCCTGGCCTCGAGGTTGGGGGCGCGCGCTGCCCGGGGCTGAGACCCAACGAGGGAGAGGCGGTGGGCGCTGGGGCCCGCGGCGGGCGCTAACTGGGCGCCCCAGCCCGGGGCAGCTGGGACCATGGGCCGCCTCTTCAGCCCTCGGCCGCCCCCCAGCGAAGACCTCTTCTACGAGACCTACTACAGCCTGAGCCAGCAGTACCCGCTGCTGCTGCTGCTGCTGGGCATCGTGCTGGGCGCGCTGCTGGCGCTGCTCGCCGTCGCCTGGGCCAGCGGCAGGGTGAGCGGGGCTTCTACCCCAGGGCGGGTCTCTCGGCGGCGGGAGCATTTTCGGGGGCTGCGGGGCAGGCAAGAGGGATGCGGTTTCCTCGTGCGTTTTCTGTTGTCATCGTTGTCCCTCTGAGCCCTAGATCTTACTGCAAACCTACAGTGACCCGCCCGGGGCAAGTCGCTCCACCTCTGTGCGCCACCGCCTCTGGGTCTGCGCAGAGAGGTCGCTCCACCCGGGACACTCCCCGCAGACCTCGGGGAGCGTCTATGCCCTCCTGGTTCTAAAAGAAATCCAACACCGGATTTTCCCGTTTTCCATGGGGGGTGGAAATTCCACACAGGCCCCAGGGGAATTCGTTTCCTGGTTTTCTCTCCCTCCTAGGGCCAGTGGGTCAGTGGTACGTACCCACAGACCCCAGGGAGGCACCTTCACCTCTCTCTCACTTCGTCCTTGAATAAACCCATTGGCAGTTTCTGCTTGGGGGGGCGGGGGCGGTTGCATGGAGGACAGGGTAACGACAGGGGTCTGCAGATCAATTTCGGGCAATATCCTGCTCCGGGGTCTCCCTGGAGGCAAGGTGGGAACCCCGCTGGGAGCGCCTGTCTTTGCCGGTCCCGCCCAACATTCCGAACGAGGCGGAGACCGAGCGCAGGGAGGGCGGCGCGGACCGGTCCCAGAGGTGGGGCAGGTGGCCGGAGCGCGGGCGGCGCTGGGCAGGGAGGCGCTGGGCGCGGCGGGCTCCGGGCGCCCCCTGCCGGGCCCGGGAATCTCTCCAAGTTAGCCAGAAAGTACGTGGGATACGGTTGGGGCTGCTTAGCCACAAGGTCAGCAGTTCAAATCCACTAGCCACTCTGCAGGAGACTGATGAGACTTTCTGCTCTTCGAAAGGTTTCCAGTCTCGGAAACCCCTGCCGGGCACGTTCCACGCTATCCTGTGGGGTGGCTAGGAGTCCCGATGAGTGTGTGAGAAATGCTTTCTGTGAACTAGGATCTTCCACTCAATTCAGGGACGCTAGTGCATGCTATGATTCCCATTTGAGAGCTGAGAAACGATGCTCTGAGAGGTCATGGAGTCACAGGTGACCAGGTCTTGGGTCCGTATCCCAGGCTCAGGCTCCATGCTGCAGGCAACGTGGAGTATTGGGTTGAACGGTTTGAACCTGTGACTGCAAACAGAGGACCAGCAGTTTCACAATATGAATGACACGCAGAGATGTCTGGGCCCTTCCCAGTCTTGGATTTGCGACACTTTTGAGAACTCGATGGAGGGGCTGGCTGCCGGCTCATACCTAGGTCCCCCTTACCTCTGACGAGCTCCCCTACCTCCCCATCCAGCCTTTGCCTAACACGAGTTCTCCTTCCAGGAGCTGGCTTCCGACCCGGGCTTCCTGGCCACCGTGCTGTGCGCTTTGGGCGGCTTCACGCTGCTGCTGGGACTGGCTTCCCGGGAGCAGCGACTGCAGCGCTGGACTCGTCCTCTGTCCGGCCTGGTGTGGGCCGCGCTGCTCGCGCTGGGCCACAGCTTCCTCTTCACCGGGGGCACAGTCAGTGCCTGGGACCAGGTGAGAAGGGTGGCCGCTGGGGCAGGGGCAGAGGTGGGGGCTGGGGGATGGGTTGGTCAGGGGCTTGGAACCTGCGGCCAGGGTTTGAGCAGCTGCTCCTCAGCTTGCTGTTTCCTGCATCTCTCACCCCTCCAGGTGCCCTTCTTCCTCTTCGTCATTTTCACTGTGTACACCATGTTGCCCCTGGGCATGCGGGATGCTGCTATCGCGGGCCTGGCCTCCTCAGTGTCACACCTGCTTGTGCTGGGGCTGTACCTTGGGCCGCAGCCAGAACCTCGGCCTGCGCTGCTGCCCCTGGTGAGCACACGGGGAGCGCAGGGCGAGCCCAATGCTGGGCATGGAGTACAGTACAACAGCATGTAGGTCCTGAACATGCCAGGCGGGGGCAGTGCTGCCATCAGATAAGGGCTCTAGAAGCAGGGACTCTAGATGGTGGAGACAGATGAGGATGATGGAAGCTTCACTCAACCAAAAACAAACAGAAAAACAAACTCACAGCCATCCATTCAAGACTGACCCTACAGGACAAGGTAGAACTGCCCTTGTGCGGTTCCAAAACTGTAATTCTTTATGGGTTTAGAAAGCCCCCCCCTCCCCCCAACACACCCTTTTATTTTCTCTCGAGGAGTGGCTAGTGGTTTCCAACTTCTGACCTTGCAAAAGTTGGGAGAATGTCAAATGTGAGCGTTTTATGAGACACAGGGTGATGGTGGAAAGGTGGTAGTCCAGGTTTGCACAGCACAGGTTTCTAAACATGCAAAGGTTTCCAGCACATTGGGGTCTTTCGGGTTGGTGCAGCAGCCAAGAAAGGGTTGGAAGCAAAGGGAATCGAAGTGCCCCAAGGAGCTCACACGGTGGCTGAGGCTTGTCCCACAATAGCTAGTCCCCTAACTGTGGAGCCTGGTGCTTCCCAGCCCATCTTCGCCAACAACTTCACGTAGCCTCGGCCCCACCTCCCACCCTGGTCTCATCCACAGCTGGCGGCAAACGCGGTGCTCTTCCTGTGTGGGAACGTGGTGGGAGCGTACCACAAGGCGCTGATGGAGCGCGCCCTGCGGGCCACGTTCCGAGAAGCGCTCAGTTCCCTGCATTCACGCCGGAGGCTGGACACGGAGAAGAAGCACCAGGTCGGCAGGCCTCAGGGGAGGCAGGCTGTGCCCAGGTTAAGACAAGGGAGGTGTTTAAATTAAGCAAGCACACACACGGACTCGCTTTCCAAGCTGCCTGGCTTTGGACAATCCACTTGACCTTCCCTTGCAAAACGTGCCAAGTTGGAAGGTTATTATTATGAGACTCAAACAGATAGGAGCTTGTAAGAAAGCTCCAGAGACCTGGTGATGTAGTGGTTAAGCCTTTGGCTGTGATCTGAAAGGGCAGCAATTCAAAACCACCTGCGGCTTCGCAGGGCAGGACTTTTTAATCCCATCAAGAGGTATCCGCTTAGAAACTCACAGGGGCAGTTCTACCCTGTCCTTTAGGCTGCGATGAGTCGGCATCTCAGCTCCATCGCAGTGAGAGAGAGAAGAGAGCTTTTGAACATTATGATCCTAAGTGAGATTTGATTCTAATTTGGCCAGCCGTGTTGGGAGAGCAGTCCCTAGAGATGATGAGTGTAGATGGGGTTCTGGGACCCAGTTATGTGCTTTAGGGAGGACCTGAGGAAGTATGTTGGGGAGGCACCTGTTGGGGGTGGGGCCATGTGGGGGGGCTCTTTGGAGAAATGTTTGGGGCTGGGGCTCCTTCCTGGAGATGGACTGCAGAAACATTGACACTCGTTGTCCCCTCCCCCAGGAACACCTCCTCTTGTCCATCCTTCCTGCCTACCTGGCTCGGGAGATGAAGGCAGAGATCATGGCGAGGCTGCAGGCTGGGCAAGGGTCCCGGCCTGAGAGCACCAACAACTTCCACAGCCTCTATGTCAAGAGGCACCAGGGAGTCAGGTATAAGGAGAGATGGGTGGAAAGGGGGAACCAGTGGGCTGAGGGCCTCGACCCCAGCGATGTAGTCTGCGCCTGCTCCCCCAGCGTGCTGTATGCAGACATCGTGGGCTTCACCCGGCTGGCCAGCGAGTGCTCTCCCAAGGAGCTGGTGCTCATGCTCAATGAACTCTTTGGCAAGTTCGACCAGATCGCCAAGGTCAGGAGGGGCCTCGTTCCCCACCCAGGGGCCTGCAGACACTCCCACCCTGGAAAGCCCCTTCCAAGAGAAACGCCTGCCTCAGGAGACCCCAGTCCCACTTCAGAGCTCACCGGGAGAGACCCCTAATCATCTCCCCACATGCTCTACCAGATACCCTCAAACACACCACATCCACGTCTCCAAACACTACAACCCAGACTGGAGCCATTGTTAGATGCTTTAACCCTGGGACACCTCTCCAAGGGAAAGTTGTGCTCAGTCACCTGCTCCGACCCCAAGGGTGTCCCTCAACCACCTAACCTTGAACCCTTCCAGTGGCCTCCATCCTGAGGCTATTTCTCTGTTCCCAAGCCTGGAGACAAGCTGGGAAGCGCCTCAGACATCCCAAACCTTGGAAGACCTCAGCCAGTTCCACAGCAAGTTTAGGGAAGCTCTAAACCTGAGATGCTTCTCCGCACGTCCATCGGTACCCCAGCTCTCCCCAGCTCCTTCTGGCCGCCTCTGGCTTCTGAGTGGGTGCCTCCTCCCCCCCAGGAGCATGAATGCATGCGGATCAAGATCCTGGGAGATTGTTACTACTGTGTCTCCGGGTTGCCCCTCTCTCTGCCAGACCACGCCATCAACTGTGTGCGCATGGGCCTGGACATGTGCCGGGCCATCAGGTCAGCTCAGGATGCATGTGGGGAAGGGGCAGGCAGGCTGTCAGAAGTCTTCCTTGGGAGAGGGTGATGTGGTAAGGAGGGGGCTCGGAAGGTAGAACCTCTCCCCCCCCACCCCGTGTTCAGGAAGCTTCGGGCTGCCACTGGCGTGGACATCAACATGCGAGTGGGTGTGCACTCAGGGAGTGTGCTCTGTGGAGTCATCGGCTTGCAGAAGTGGCAGTATGATGTCTGGTCCCATGATGTCACCCTGGCCAACCACATGGAGGCAGGCGGTGTACCAGGGTGAGGCCAAGCCCCGGGGAGCTACCATAGGAGACCATTCAGGCCTTCCACGCATTGCCACCCTCTCCGCACACCCTCAGCTGAGCGCCGGGAGGCTGGTGGGGTGGGGCCTATGAGCTTCACCTGCAGCTCAAAGGCTTTGCGTCAACTCTGGGAATGGTTTGGGAGAGACAGGAGATCGGAGGGGGCCCTCCCTGCTGACCCCAACGCCTCCTCCTTCCAGGCGCGTCCACATCACGCAGGCCACGCTGTCCCTGCTGGCAGGCGCCTATGCGGTGGAGGATGCAGCCGTGGAGCCCCGGGACCCATACCTTCGGGAGCTGGGGGAGCCTACCTACCTGGTCATCGACCCCCGGGTACAAGCCCAACCTAGATCGTTGGCTGGCTGGTTCACCCAACCTACCCCCCACCCCCACCCCTCCAGTCAGCAGGCCTGGTTCTTCTCCTCAGTCAAAGGTTTCATTCCTGAGACCTAATTGGGTGGGAAGGGGGGCTGGGAGACAAAGCTCGAAGGGCGTGGCCAGGGGGTATGGAGAAACATCGGTGGTCTTTACTGTCTGCCCTTTTACGCCCCCTCCCCCACCCAGGCCAAGGAGGATGAGAGGGGCCCTGCTGGAGGGCTGTTGTCCTCCCTGGAGGGGCCCAAGATGCGTCCATCGCTGCTGATGACTCGCTACCTGGAGTCCTGGGGCGCAGCCAAACCGTTTGCCCACCTGAGTCATATAGACAGCCCTGTGTCCACCTCCACCCCGCTCCTGGTAGGTGCGCTGCCAGCCGCCACGCACACAAACCCACCGCCAGTGTGTCCTTGGGCCTCACTCCCTGTCTCCCCAACTCCCCCCCTGTCCCCACTAAGTCACTGGATGAACCTTGATGTCCCACAGTGACGCACCATCTGGTCACCCTGTCCCTGGGTCCAGACCCTTCCTGGTCGTCTCCCCGCTCCCCACTGAAGAAAGCGTGAAGCTCTTCACCCTTTGAGCTCACCTCAGAGTGAGGCCTTGTCCGCCAATTCCCAGCCTTCATGTCTCCTGATCCTGCAAAGGTGGCCGACCCACTTCCTCCTGACCGGGGAAACTCCATTCCCACCAAGACCCAGGGCTGTTCAACTCACCTCCTGCCGGCTGCATGCTCTCCCCTTCAAATCAGTTGTTGCTCCTGTTCCCCAGCATGTGTACATGGTGACAGGATCTATGAGGTGACAGGAGAAATCACAGATGGCCTTGAAAGAGGAAGTCACCCTCAGCAGGCTGGGCAGGGGAGGGAGGGAAGATTACCTCTGGTCTAGGTGAAGATTCCAGGAGCCCTGTTGGTGGAGTGATTATGCATTGGGCTGCTAACCTCAAAGTCAGCAGTTTGAAACCACCAGCCAGCTCCAAGGGAGAAAGATGAGGCTCTCTATTCCCATAAAGAGTTAGTGCCTCCGAGAAACTCCCAGGAGCAGTTCTACTGTCAGGATTGCCTGGACGGCAGTGACTGATGGCAGTGGCTCCATGGATAGCACCTTCAAAAATCCTGAATCTCCCCCACTGGCTGACTCTTTAGAGTGACGCTCAGCAACTAGCTGCCAGACCCCTGCATGCAGGCACCCAGTCATGTCTCTGAAGACCTGCACCACAATTAGGCTCCCATCTCCTCAGCCTGTATCCCTCCACTGGCCTGTCCTTTCCAAAACCTGTCTGCCTTTCCCAGCCATCTCTCTGCTGGTCTTCCCAGAATCCTCTCTACAGGGTAACACCTGGCTGGGTTTATGGGACGACTCGCAGTATCCTTCTCTCACCCAGCAGGAAGGCAGGATGAGGTCTCTATGGGGAATGGGGTGCAGCACGGGGTTTGCTAGCAACCCACGGACCGTGAAAATCTGGGGGTGCAATCCCCATGGTACAAGTGTCCCCAGAGCCCACGTGAGACCTGCGCCCCCACTCCACTGGCATGTCAACTAGGAAGCATGGGGGTGAAGGAGCAGGAATGTCTTGTTCAAAGGAATCCTAGAGGCAGAGCTCAAAGGCCCAGAACTTGTGCTTCTTGGTCCCTTCATTGTTTGCTGCCAGGGGGTCCTGGCTGTCTTCTTGGTGGAAGCAGGATCAACAGGCCTTTCTTCTGGGAAGCCTCGGGCAGGCCCAACCACCAACCTCTCTGTTAGCTGCCAGCTGCGAATTCCTTGAGCCCCTGCCCCCCCACCCCACCCCCACCCCTACCCCTGAAAGTCCCAGGGGCTGGATCCACTGTTGGGTGTCCGAGCAGCAGCAGCGGTGGACTGGACTCTCATTCCTTTTGTCGTTTTCCTGTTTTTCCTGATTGTGTTGAAATATTTATAACAAAACTCTTCCCCCGCCCCCATTTCAACCACTTTTGTCCGTGCACAATTCAGTGACCCCCGAGGGCAGTCACGGTGTGGAGCCACCATGCCCACATCTGTCTCTAGGTTTTTCCATCACCTTCGTGGAAATGGCACCTCTGAGCAATCACTCCCCCTGCCATGACCCCCTGCCATGCCTGCCCCTAACCACATGGGGGGAGGGAGGGACGGTATTTGTGCTCATAGAAGCTATTGATGAACACTCTCATGTGGTAAGCACTGGGCTAGGTGTTGAGAAGACCAAAAAATCGAAGTTTCCTTGCCTTCAGATAATGTCTAGGCCTTGGGAGGGAGAGAGGAGGCCATTGGGGGAAAGTTAGATATAGTGCACAGACCCCACACCTAGAACAGAGAATTCACAGTCTCTCCTTTTGTATATACCTGGGGCAGGTGTGGGGTGGAATTGCAACCCTGCTTCCTTTACATAGCCGAGGGGAGCAAAGGAGCCCGGCTATCCTGCTTCTCCTCCTGGCGGGGGTCCTCAGGGCCTCCTCCTCTGCCCTCCTCACCCTCCTCGCCTTCTGTGTTTGGTCCCTCAGCTTCCACTGCGCACCTCCCTCAGCAGAGAAGAGAGTGGCTGCAAGCGGCTCTCTTCCTCTTCCTCTTTCCCCTCCCTCATCATGCTTGGTAATCTCCCCGCCACCTTCCCGCACCGCTCAAGGGGTGTCGCGAACGGTCAGCAGTCTGTGTGTCCCTCCATGGAAACCAAGGAGAACATTTTGGCATCCAAGGGGAACAGGAAATTCCCTGCCTTTGAAGAAAAGCATATATATTGGTCTGTGGGGGGTGGGAGTTAGGGGGTGTCTTTAGAGAAAGAGGCATGGAGAACGGAGACCCACTCCACTGACAGAAGCTAAACAGCTGCCCAGTTCGTGGGAGCAACATTCAGAAAATCAAAACATAGAAAGACCCCCGGAGAGTCTTAAGAAGTCAGGAGGCATCTTGAAGGAGCACCTCTTCCTGGGAAGTGGGGTTTGGTGGACAGAGAGGAGAAGTCATCGAGACAGGGGACAAAACCAGGCCAAATGCCACCATTGTGTGCAGGACCATGCAGTGCAGCCCCCATCTGTCTCGCTTGACTGGCTCCGGGACACTCACGGTCTCCCGTTATCCCCCCACCCACTGCCCCCCATGTGCTTTCTCAGCAGGAGAAGGCCCTGGCTTCCTTCGGCCCGCAGTGGAGCCTGGACCGGTGAGGAGGCCTGAGCACCTTGGCGGTGGGGCTGTCTGGGTGAACGACTTGGGGATCGACTGACTGCTCCTGCCACCTTACCCAGATGCTTCTGAGGGTCTCAGTGGTGACAGGCTGGCCTTTCCTGTGCAGGAGCCGTACCCCGCGGGGCTTAGACGATGAGCTAGACACCGGGGACGCCAAGTTCTTCCAGGTCATCGAACAGCTCAACTCTCAGAAGTATGAAAAGTAGGGGGGGTGGGGAGGAGCCCAGGCGCTGGGGTCCCTGGCCAGAGGATGGGTGGTGCTGTGCTCACCTGGAGGGCAGTGAGGGCTTCTCTGTTCTGAGCCAGGCACCAACTGGCCCTACCGCACCCCCTGTCCTCTCTCTGCCCTGCTCACTCCTCTCTGGTGCTGACCATCCCCCAATGCATGTCAGACAGTGGAAGCAATCGAAGGATTTCAACCCACTGACGCTGTACTTCAGGGAGAAGGAGATGGAGAAGGAGGTGAGCAAGGAGTGTGGCGGTGCCCGAGGGTGTGCCAACCTTCGTCCCTGAGCCCCTGGCCGGAGTCAGGCCCCAGGGCCCCACCTCCCCTACGTGGCTCTGCTCAGTTTATTATGTGGGGGGTGAGGGGCCATACGTGTTCCCCCAAAGGAGGGCCACTCTGGAATGAGGAGGGGGGTAGCTCTTTGGGGAACAGGTAGGGACTGTGTGGGACTGAACTTGAAGGGAGACTGGGGACCCGCTCTTGTCTGAGATTGACTCCTTGATTCGCGGGCTCCACCCGGCCCTCCCCCTTCCAGTACCGGCTCTCGGCACTCCCTGCCTTCAAATACTACGCAGCCTGCACCTTCACAGTCTTCCTTTCCAACTGCATCATCCAGATGCTGGTGACAAACAGGTGAGAGACCACCCCCCCCCACTCACCCACCCAAGCAAGGAAGACCCTGTTCCGTGTGCCCCCGAAAGCTTCCTCTCCCTCACCCACCACTCGCACTTCCTCCTTCCCCTTCCCTTCAGACAGCACCCACAAAGGCAGCATCCCCCTGGGGTTGGTGGCAGTCACCCAGGGCAGGAACTCATGATGCCCCCCAGCCCCCCAGCCCCCATGGGCCTCCCCTACTAGACCACACAGAATTCTTAGTAATGTTGAGGATCGCGTTTCACTTAGATGCAATGAATACAGCGGTCAGTCGTCATGCTTTTGAGATTCAGCGAATACTAACAGCAAAAATCTATGCGTATAACCTTTCTCTGTTGAATTCATAACTGAGCCAAGACTTGTATTCTTTTTCTCCTTCCTTTTTATGACTACTTAGTCCCCCCACCCCCAAAAGTTACTGATATAGACTCACAAAGACCAATTACCACAACAGTGTAGCCCCAACCCCAGCGCATTGCACAAAATCAGCAATAAAAGGTGTCGGCAGAGATGAGAACCACAGGGCGAGCTTGTTGTACCACGTGCGCGCAAAGTCGCGTGGTCCCAAGGGCCACGGTGATTGGCCACAGAGACAGATGCAACTGGAACTTTTGGAAAAGTGCATTAGCATAGAGTCCTTAGCCTGTGAGGAGCCCTGGTGGCCTAGTGGTTACACACTGGGCTGCTAACTGCAGGGTCAGCAGTTCAAAACCACCAGCCCCTCCTGGGGAGAAGGACAGGGCTTTCTACTCCCACAAACAGCTGTAGTCTCTGAAGCCCACGGCAGCCTGTTTTAGCCTGTCTTACAGGTCTCGGCTTTTAGCCTTAAAATGATACATATAAGCCGGGCTTACCCAAAAGTGTTTTTGTAGTTGTAGCTAACTACTGGGAAAGATTGAGAGAGAGAGAGAGAGAGAGAGAGTGCGTGTGTATTATTTCGGCAGCAGTCTCGTACATTCCTGTTGGTGTCACCCCCTCTGTGACTGTCGCCGGACGAGAGAGAGAGTGTGTGTGTGTGTGTGTGTGTGTGTGT